TTTGAACAAATCCACTAGCATAAAGTTAAGTGCAATAAAAATGTAAATGTAAGCATAGAAAAATTATTTATGATATGATGGGGGTGGGATCTCCATTCTCCAATACTGTCTATGGTTATAGGCTGTTGCCTTGAGCTTATATTATATATGTGTAACAAGAGACATATGCTTCATGCTTGGAAGAAGGAATCATAAAGGACAAACACAACTCCATTATTTGAATTAATGCATAATATATCAAACTTCCCTCTCATTTCTCACCGTCACCCTCACCCACAAAAGCTTTTCATCAACCTCATCCACTATTTCTGTTTTCTTCTACACATGACATCATCCCCCAAAATAATAGGCCAAACTTCAATAATAACACCAATTTCACACCATACCATCAAATTCAAACATATTTTTACTCCCATAAAATTAAATTACAAGTTTAGTACCTGAATTTTTAAGTTTTCTCTAAAGTTTAAAAAATATATATTTAATAGGCCATCCATGAACTTTAAAAAATGTTTAACAGATCCTTAAATTTTTAATTTGGTGTCTAATAGGTTCTTGGTCTATTTGACATCTAAAAAAAATATTTTATTAAACATACAAATGAAAATTGTGTCACGTAGAATCTTAAACTTTTAATTTTGTGTATGACAAAGTTTGGGAATTTTAAAAACTTTCGATGTAAAATTTAAAGTTAATTGATCTATCATACACAACATTAAAAATTTAGGGAGATATCAAACATTTTTTAAAATTCAGGAGTTTATTAATTAACTTTTTCTACTTCATATATTTGGGTTGTTATATATTTTGCCCTTGTATTCTTTTAGTCCTAGTATCTTGGAAATTGAAATGCTAAAGAAAATCTAACAGCAATTAGGCCATGTGAATGAGTATATAATTAGGCTGTATTTAGTTGAGATTAATGGTGGAGATTTGTCGCTTATTAGGTTGACTCAATATAAGTTGATGTTTTGTTGGACTTTTAATAAAATCTTTAGTGTCTTTAATTTAATGGTTATAATTTTAAAATTACAACAAACTTAAATTATTATTTTATTATTTTTAGAAGAGAGAGAGAGTAAAAGAAATTTGAAATGAAATGTGACAAAATTGTGGAGATGACAAATAAAAAGATAGAGCATTGATTGATTGATTGGTGGGGGGGCAGAGAGGCCCACCCAACCCCAATTCCCTTCAATCATGCGCTGCCCTAACTTCACATTCAGTGCAAATAATTGTACTCTAAACACTGCCCGCTGCCCGCCCTCCCAATTTTATTATTTTTATGTTACATAAAAAAGCCCCCATTTTAATTATTTTTGCCTTGTTCATATATTCAAACTTAAAAGAACCAAGTAAAGTGAAAGTGACGCCAAAATTTTTAAAACATTAGGAGAGTGAGGAATTGAGTCCCCTCCGATATCCAAATTAATAAAAAAAAAATTCGTTCAATTTTAGTTTTGATTTTAAATATTAGAAACAATTTAATTAAAAGAGAAAGTTTTGTGTTCTTAGTTCGATTTTAAATATTAGAAATAATTTAATTAAAAGAGAAAGTTTCGTTTTCTTCGTTCTTTACTTTGACAATTATTAGTACAAGTACGAATCAATTATTAGAAGAGACAACGGCTCTCTAACATGCATTAACCTTTGTTCAATATGCAAGTACAATCATTTTTTTTTAAAGAAAAATTGTTGATATTGATTCATGGAAATTTTTTGTTTTGGCCTAAAATTTGGTGGAGTTTTGATATAAGTTTCATTCTACCGAACTTTTACTTTCTAGCTTGATTGCAATATTGTTGTATTTAAAATTGAGAATGAAACTAAATAGTTTGAAATTATTGATGCTAAAAACGACTGTTGGAGCCTCCCGTTTGGCATTTCCTATTTATTCTCTCTTTTGTTGGGAGAAATATAGAATCCAACCACTAGAGGGAGGAGAAAGTCGGACGAAAAGGGCAACAATGAGAAGAAAGTGTAAAAAAAATAATTTTTACATCAATTCAATCAAAAATATATATACATTATGTCATATTTTTTATAATTTAATAAAGTGAAAACAAACCAATCTAAACATAGTTATTTTCCGATTAAAAAATATTGTGTTCAAATCCACATCTCTACATGTTCTACTAAAAAAACTTGGTAAAAACAGATAGACATAAAATATTTTAAAGTCTTTGAAGAAAGATTAACCACTAAATTAAAAAATTTTGGAAATTTATGAAAGAAATTATTTGCGAAACACCTCGTGAATGAAAAAGTTATTTATCTCTTTTCTATTTTATTGTCTTTATATACTTTTTTCTTTTCTAAGCGATCTCTTTTGGCCATGCACTTTTCTTTTCTTTACTAACTTTGAAAATATACTTTTATCTTCTTAAATCTCCTTTTGCATAGACTTTTTCTTTGTTACATTCTTTTTGTACATCTTTCTTCTAGTAATTTTAATCTCCATCGAATTTTTACTACCTCTCTCTCTCTCTCTACTTTCCCCCCTTACCTTTTCTCTATATTTTATTCCTTCTTTAATTAAAAATAATAATAAACAAACAAATAATAATAATTGAAAAGATAAATTGTGGGGACACATATTTTTCGTCACAATCTTCTGTGCACACAATTTTCCTCGGTATTTATTTATATTCAATATAATATTGTTTTAAAATGTTGAGCTCCCTTTTTTTGAAAAATTCAAAAAAAGGGGGGGTTAATAGGAAGAGATATAAATTGGAAGGGTAAAAAAAGTGAATAAAAATGATTAAACGAATGTTTGAAAGCGGGACTTGACCTTGCTGTCACCCGTACACAGAATTATCTCGTGCATGGATTAAAAGTTGAAATCATTAAATCTCTCACATGCCACGTCATTCATCCTCCATCCAGCCGGTAACCGGTCACTCTTTGAAAACATAATCAAACCGCGAGTTGAGAATCCACACGAACCAACCCCAATTCCCAATATTATTAACTCAAAACCCTAATTATTTTCCACTAATTACCTTCACCTCCCCATCATTTTCCTCTTTTTCATTTACCGCCACTCACCGTCCCACGGACGGACCCGTTTACGTTCCGTTCCGTTCAGTCCCTAGTGGATCCGGATCGTGGGTAATTATTTTCTCGAACTCCGTAACATTGGAGAATCCACGGCTGTGATTTGCTCTCACCGTCAACCAATCAAATTAAATAAAAGAAAAAGGGAGTTTTCTTTCAAAAAAGTAAGCATTAAGAACGGTTTTGCTGCCAATAATGCGAACAGCAATAAGTAGCCCATGTTACCCACACAAAATTTTAATCAGTTCTTTTTTTCTTTTACTAATTATTAATTTAATTCCCATACTTGAATTTCCAATCCCACCATTTCTGGTTAATTTATTCCCAAAACAAATTAATAATGAAATAATTCTAGGAACATGGTTTTAGTTTAATTTTAAATTTTTGGAGAGAGAGTCACGTCAACTCAATAATGCTGGGTTTTAAAAAATCCTTGTCACATTAATGTGCATTACCTAAGTTTGCTCTACCCCATAACTGAAGCCTCCAGAAATATCTTTTTCTGATTATTTATATGATACAATAAAATAATATTTTTGTTGGTGGCTTGAAAATCAAGCTATTTTCTTTGATAAAGATTGTAGATCTCCATCAACTTATTTTTAAAGTTTATATATTTTTTTTCTAAATAAAAACTGCGGCTTTTGGCTTTAATAGTAAGTCAAATTTCAAAACACACATCTCTCATTTCTTTTTTATATAATTATTGAGCATTGGACTTTGGAAAGCATGTGAATATAGTCCCATGAGTCAAGATCCCCTTAGCCCAAAAATTGCTTCTACTTGTCATCTTCTCTATGTTATTTTTCTCAAAAAAACATTCAATTTATGTACACATATGTTGAATTATTGATATTTTAATCATTATTACAAAGTTGAGAAGCGTGTTTTGTTACAAAAATTATTATTGATTTTATTAACATTTGAGCAATGTCAATTATAATTTATAAAAATATATATAAAAAAAGTGAAGGTTGAAGAAATCCTACCTGTTTGAAAACCTCTTTCTTTCCTTCATAATTTGATATGACAAAATTTTAATCTTTACTAGCATTCATGTAAAATGATTATCTAAGATAAATTGAATAAATTTCTTCAATATCCACGRGAGTAAAAGATAATGGTCAATTGTAATTAGTTTCATTTTGACACTATAAAACATTTTGAGTTAAAGAGTCAAGTGTGGTGTGATACAAAGCACAATTATATGACATATTTTGAAATAGTTATTTTATACAATAAGTGGTGTGGTGTAAGATTTGAACTCATGACATCTACAGCATCAAATTGTATTCATGTTAGTCATATTTCGATTTGAAATAGTTAAAAGTGGGAAGAAGAGTGAGACATAGAAAAAGAAGCAATAATCAAAAGAAGAAGAAAAACAGAGAGGCAGCAAAGTGAAAAGAGCCAAAGAAACATATTATTAGTATTATTAAGGGAAAACAAAATCTTGAAGATCTCATCCAAATTAATGAAATTGAACGTGCAAAAGAATGGACCGTGTGTGTATCCAAAGGGACAGAATCAGAAGCATCCCAGTGGGTGGCTGCAGCCTGCAGGTGCAGTGGCAGAGGCCTCAGCGCCTCGGCCCTCGCCCCTCAGCCCATCCCCTTTTTAACAAATAATAAAAGGTAAGGGACAGCCCCATCTTACCAAAAAATATTTCCTACCCACCCACAATCTACTCTCAATCACTCGAATTGGCAAGTTTTTTTGCTCTGGGCATCAAATGCTGAACCGACCAAACCATGCATCAATTTTTATTTTATTTTATTTTACTTTCTGTTTTTCTATATTTATATTACCTTGTTGAGTATGAAAATGAATGACATAAATTTAGCTTTGCTTCTTCTTTAAATCTGTAAAATAAAATAAATAAAGGGACACGTGTAATTTTCTTAGAATGTAAATTTTCCATTAGAAGCGACCGCGTTGACCTGTCATAAGAGGCGGCAACCTCCAGTTGCCGGTCACCCGCACCGGCGAGTTCTTACTTGTTCCCACAATTCTTACCTTACCCTTTCTCCCCTCAGAATTGAGATGCATTATTAATTATTCCCGAGAAGCTTTCTTTTTTGTTTTGTATTCTTTTGTTGTATCATATCCTTCAGCTTCTCAGTTCACAGTTCACACACAGACACAGAGACAGAGTTTCGATTTGGAAGCTACAGTGTGGCCTTTTCTTTGCAGTGCTTTTTTGGGGCTCTTCAAACAGCAACAAATTATATTGCAAAGGAAGAAGGAAGCTTTTGTCATCTTCTTTTCAGTTTTTTTATCATCCATCCCCTTCCCCAGGGCTCGTTCCATGTTATCCATTTTCATCTCTGATTCCATATTCCTATTAATCCCTTTCCCAAATCAAATTGCCCCCAAATTCTTTTCCACCTCCTGAGCTTCGCTTTTTCAGAGATTAAATCAGATCAGATCGGATTGTGGGAAACAAACAATGACGGGGTGGAGAAGAGCGTTTTGCACTTCTATTCCTAAAGATTCAGAGACGAAGGTGTTGAAAGAGAATACCGTTAATAGCCAGAGCCAGAGCCAGAGCCCTAGAATCAGCTCTAAATTTGGGTTTTTCTCCAACCCATCCACGCCTCGCTCGCAGTCACGGCGGCAGCCGGAGCCAGGCCTCGGCCTCCGATGCCGGACCTCGGTTGCTACTGCTACTACAGCTTCGTCGACGCACAATAGCCCCAAGCTCCAAAAGAAAACCAATGGCTCCAGATTGTTCCAGTTCTCCAATCCTTCTTCCCCAAAATCGCCCTCCAGTTTCTCCTTCATTAAATCCGGCTTACGACTCTCCAAGGTATGCAATTCTGCTGTACTCTGTTACGGTTACATCATTGTAGTAGTCGAACATTGATCGAGTTTCTCCCTCTAATTCCTTCACTTTTTTAGTTCGCTTCTTTTATTTTTATTTTTATTTTTATTTTTTTCCAATTAGCCATCATTTAACTCGATTCCCTCCCGTCTCTCCCTTGTCTTTGCAGAGTAGGTGCGGAATCTGCTTACAAAGCGTTAAAAGAGGACAAGGAACGGCCATTTTCACTTCAGAATGCTCCCACTCCTTTCACTTTCCTTGCATCTCAGCGCACATCAAGAAGCACCGGACTGTAGCGTGCCCCGTTTGCAGCTCCATTTGGAACGAAGCTCCGTTGCTCGATACTCACAACCCTCAGAAGCAACCAATCCAGACAGAGAAGACAAGAGGAGTTGAATCGGTTAAACTCGGAGACCTTAAATCGAAGCCATTCAAAGTTTACAACGATGACGAGCCTTTGATGTCCCCGACTTCCGGTGGTCGCTTCAATCCAATACCAGAATCCGACGAAAACGAAGACGAAGAAGAACAGGATAGCGCAGTAGAGTTCCAAGGGTTTTTTGCAACATCTGCACCGTTATCCTCTCCAAAACTACCTAACGTTGTGAAAAATGTTGAAGTGAGTCTATTGCCGGAGGCAGCGGTAGTCGCAGTTGGTCGGAGCTATGAGACCTATGCGGTGGTGTTGAAGGTCAAGGCTCCGCCTCGATCTGCAACGACGTCGTCATCGCCGATGAGCCGAAACCTCCGTCCTCCAATTGATTTGGTAACCGTTTTGGATGTCAGTGCGAGCACGAACAGCGCCAAACTCCAGATGGTGAAACGAACTATGCGACTGGTTATTTCTTCGCTCTGTTGCAAGGACCGCCTCTCGATTGTGGCGTTCTCCGCCAGCTCCAAGCGGTTGTTGTCTCTACGGAGAATGACATC